AGAGAGAGAGAGAGAGAGAGAGAGAGAGAGAGAGAGAGAGAGAGAGAGAGAAAAGAAAGACTGACAGACAGACAGACAGACAGACAGACAGACAGACAGACAGACAAACAGACAGACAGAGGGAGAAATACAGATAGAGAGAGAAATTAAGAGAGATGGCAGAGGCAGACAGACGGACAGAAAAACACACATGAGAGACAGTGACAGCGACAGTGACAGACACAGTGACAGAGACAGGTACAGAGACAGGTACAGAGACAGACAAAGACAGATAACTTGATGTCATTGACTCTTATAAGTCTGACTGTGGTTAGGTGCCAGCCACAAATTGTACACTTAAGTGTAGAATTCTGTGGTGCCAGCAAGGAGGTTACAGTTTTAAGCCAAGGAGTTTAGAACTTACTTTTAATCTCCTTGTTTTAAGCTCATTGGGTGACAGTTGTTATTGCTGGCCAAACCATTCGTTAATTTTATCCGTTTTTCTATGAAATGCAGACAGGACTCCGTACCTACAGTTGCTCTTCTTACGGCTCTATCTTTAGGGTCTACATTTTTAAATTTATTTGATAAGGGAGCGTTTAGTAATTCATGTAATGTTATTTTGTTAACTGTTAGCGTTTCGCTATTATCGTTTGGCTATTTGATATTGTTATTTATTAAAGTGTCATCATAATGTTCGCCTATGCCAATGCCCCCCACCCCCACTCTCAGTCTTTGAAAGAGACTTAATGTATCACTATAAATGATAATAATACAGTCGAACCTGTGTAAGACGGAGTCGCAAGGGAGCGGGAAAAAATTCCGTCTGAGACATTTTCCGTCTTAGGCAGGGGAATTTAGGGGGGAGGTGAAGGTGGGGGTGGGTGTGGGGGGGGGGGGTTCAAAGGCCCAGCCGATGGGATCAAGGATCGCTTGTCCGATCGGCAAGAAGTGGTCAAAACTTCACACCTTTCAGCTGCTATCCTGTCTGATAATGACATGCGTCAGTCTTGCGTATCCAATTACCACCAGTGCTTGCCTTTTATAGGACCACTGTTTGACCTATTAAAAACAGAAACGTTTGAACATCTCCTTTGGTTCCACCCTTAGCCCCACCCACCAATGCCAACCCTCACTGCCATCATTGTAACAACGATTTGAGGAACTCTTTTCTCGGCTGGCCGTACGATCAGGGCGGCAGGCATTGGTCAATCTAATTTCACACCTCTGGCTTCTGGCTACCCAGGAAAGTTTCCGTAGTGGCTCGCTTCTCGAGCACTCTCACGGGCAGTCGTGAGATTTCACACCCACACTACACTGACCATCTGCATCGCTCAGGGCTCACATGATGGGGTAACATCTACCCCCAAATTGCACCCCTACTCCCCTTCCTCGCCCAGCGGAATGGCAATGGCGTTAAGTTTAGAGCCGACCACTAAGTGTAGAATTCTGTGGAGCCGACGGAACCAAAATTGCGAGTTTTGTTTTAAATCAGGGCTGAGCGGGTAAAGCATTTTCCGTCTTAGACAGGTGAAACCCTCGGAAGGGAGCGGATTTTTCTTTCCGTTTCCGCGTTGGACAGGTTTCCGTTTTATACAGGTAATTAAAGAGGAATACAATGTATATAAATGGGGGGAAAGGGGAGATTCCGTTAAGACAGGTTTCCGTTTTACACAGGTTTCCGTTAAGACAGGTTCGACTGTGTATTATTTTATTTTATTGATATTTATCTATTTGACTATATTTGAAACCAACGAAGGGCTTCCGGTTTGCAGCAACTTTCGTTACTTTGTGTAAACATTATAAAACTCGGAATCGAAGTGAAAGGAACGTTGCATTGAAGTTGCTACTGCAAGTGCAAGGTTGTTCGTCGATGCATGGTGAAGGAATTTCATCAGCTGCTTTTCGTTTCTGTTTCGCTGTTGTGAGCTGAGTTAGCCAGCTTTTGTGATACTGTTGAATTTTCAGCATCTCAAGATCTCCACATAAAAAAACAAATGCCCACTACTGAGGTTGAAGCCTTTGAGGAACCGCAAGGTCGTGAAGTCAAACCACGAATGGTGAGAAAAGACTTTTTATAATTATCAAGACGAACTGAACCAAGACTCAAGACAGGATTCTAGATCTAGAATCTAGATCTAGATCTAGATCTAGATATTAGATATCTACATCTAGATCTAGAATCTAGATCTAGATATCTAGATTTCTACACCTAGATCGAGATCTAGATCTAGATATCTAGATCAAGATCGAGAGCTAGTCTAGATCTAGCCTCAAGTGACTTAAATAATTTAGTTATATTAAGGCCACCTCTAGAGGTCTATATGCTCACCCGGAGTGAGAATAGTGCAGGCGAGTCTTGTCACTTGTGGCTATTCTCACCCGGTGCGCGTTCACCAAATTTTGCGTTCACCCTAAACCACAGAATTCTACACTGTGAGTGATGACAGAAAAATTGTAGAATTCTGTGCCGCGAACAAACGTTCCATTACAACTGTAGCCTACTAAAAGCGTACAATTTTGTCTGTGGGCAGTGGAGAGAGAGAGAGAAAGAGAGAGAGGAGTAGCGCGAGAATTTCCGGGCAAAACAAAATGGCGACCCGCGTAGTTCGGCTCGATTCGAAAAGTTAAATAGCCGTAGCATCTTTGTAGACAACCAAATTGATTTACTTTTGTGTTTTAACATCATTTTTTAACTTTGTTTTGGTAAATTTGATCGTCCACACCTATAGATCTAGACAGTATTCAGAAAGAGACAGAGAGAGAGAGAAAGAGGGGAGGAGTTGATCTTGCGAGAACTTCCAGGCAGGTGAGAATAGCCACTTTCTATATTAAAGATATCTAGTAATACAGTAGATCTAGGAAGTGGCTATCCTCACCTGGGGTGAGAATAAA